TTTCGATGATCCAGCAGATGTTGGCAATTTGATCTCTGGTTCCTCTGCCTTTTCTAAAACCAGCTTGAACATTTGGAAGTTCTCGGTTCACATATTGCTGAAGCTTGGCTTGGAGAATTTTGAGCATTACTTTACTAGTGTGTGAGATGAGTGCAATTGTGTGGTAGTTTGAGCATTCTTTGGGATTGCCTTTCTTAGGGATGGGAATGAAAACTGACCTTCTCCAGTCCTATGGCCACTGCTGAGTTTTCCAAATTTGCTGGCATATTGAGTGCAGCACCTTCACAGCATCATCTTTCAGGATTTGAAATAGCTCAATTGGAATTCCATCACCTCCACTAGCTTTGTTCGTAGTGATGCTTTCTAAGGCCCACTTGACTTCACATTCCAGGATGTCTGGCTCTAGGTGAGTGATCACACCATTGTGATTATCTGGGTTGTGAAGATCTTTTTTATACAGTTCTGTGTATTCTTGCCACCTCTTCTTAATATCAGGCTGCATCAGTGCCTTTCATATGCCTGTGGTGCTGTCCTTGTGCACAGATGACAGGCCGTCTCATGAGACCTGCACATCTCAGGTTGCACCCTGCTCCTGGGGCAGGGAGGGTCTCTACAGCACTTGCCTCTGTGCTTCTGGGGCCTAGCAGGGTGCCTGCACACACCTAATATGTGGTCCACAAACATCTGTGGAGTCCATCCACTCAGCCAATGTGGATTTAGTAATTAAAGGTGTTTCCATGACACTGGGATTTGTCAACAGGTCAATAATGGGTTCAAGGAGGTCTGTGAGCCTCAGAAGGGAAGTCATTGCATTTTACCAGCTCAACTGTCCTATTCCTCAGCCAACCTCTTCCTTATGTTTTAAAGGGCAACTCATCAAGGGCACACTTGTCCTTTGAAAAGAGACTAACCAGTTGAAAAGGCTTGTACTGAACTCCTTGTCCAATCAAGGCACTTCATGGAAGAAACCAGATTTGGTTATTGACCAGATTAAATTTCCATTCAATTCTCTTTTCCTTGCTTCTTTTCTTCCCTCTTTCCTCCCTTTCCCCTCCCTTCTTCCTTCCTAATTTTTGCCCCCAGCATGTACATTTTTCTGGAGCAGGATGACATTCTCGGTCATGGGCAGTGGGCACCAGATCAATTGCTCCAAGTTCGACTTGTTAAAAAAAATCACAAGAGAAATGATCACCTAGGTGCAGTGTGTTTAGATTTTAAATCTCTCTGGGTTTGGCTGGCCACTGGAGGCCCACCAGTTTGCTCTCTCTGGCCTATAAGAAAAGTCTTGGACATTTGGGCTTCCAAATAAGACTCTCCTCCAGCTACACTGATACTGATGTGCATGCAAACTTTGTTTATGCATGAAAAAGGCCCACTTCCCGCACCAAGCCTTGCTCACACCTGCAGCTTGCGTCCCTATAGGGTGTTTGCACCCTCTGCAAGCCAGGCTCTCGGCACTCAGCAGGCTGTTGATTCCAACGTCCCCAGAATAAGGGAGACTGTGAGGCTGACCTCCTAGCTTTTTATTTCCAGGAGCAGAGTGGCTAAGTCCGCTCTTGCAGTGATCTTCATCCCTTTGTGACCTGACGGGTGTTCACTGGCCATCACCACGTGTGCCAGACAGAGCCCAGGGTAGAGTCCACCAGGGGGCTGCCAGATTCATGCTCAGGAGCAAACAAAGCCATGCTTTGCATCTCAAGTACACAGATGCAGAGCTCCCCAGGGAGGTCACACACTTAAAAATACCGTGCAGTCATGCAAACTCGTGAGCCTGGAGTCTGTGGCTCAGGTGAGCTTGGGACCCCACAGAGTCAGTGGATGGGTCTTTAGCCCAGAACTCCTTCCTTCTGGTCTTATTTTCTTTTTCCTCTCCTGACCCTCTGCTCAGCCCCAGGCTGGAGCCCCATCTCATCAAAGAATGAAGGCTGTCCTCACTAGGCTTGCTGGTGAATCCTCACACGGTGTAGGCTTGACCTCATCCCCCTTCTCCCAAAAGGAGGCAGAGAACATCCCTCTGTTGGGGAGCACCCAGGAGACACACCAACTTGCTTCCTTCTGACCCTTCTTCTCACCTCCTTCACCTTGATGCCCTGATGTCTCGAAGGACCGACCACCTTCCCCCACTAGGGAGGCAGGGAGAACAAACACAGAGACTGAACCAGGGGGACTGTGGTAGGGCTTCCGGGAAAGATATTTTATCCCAAATATTTGAGATGTACTTACAATAAAGAAAGATTATTCTTCACTGGTCTGAGATTCATGTTTAACTGAGTATCTTGTATGTTTCGGCTTCCAGGTGGCTCACAGTAAAGAAACTGCCTGCCAATGCAGGAGATGCAAGAGACGGGGGTTCAATCCCTAGGTGGGGAAAACCCCCTGGAGAAGGAAATGGCAACCCACGCCAGTATTCTTGCCTGGAGAATCCCATGGACAGAGGTGCCAGGTGGGCTACAGAGCAAGGGATTGCAAAGTGTCAGACATGACTGAGTGACTGAGCGTGCACACACTTGTTATATTTATTTTCTAAATCAGATAACCCTTCCAGGAAGGCCGTGGCCACCTTAGGAAGGAGCCTCCTTACTTTATGCCACCACCTAGAATCCCACTGTAGCCAGAGAGGCTGCTCCTGTGAGCTGGGGCTGGAAGGCTTTTTTCAAAAGAGGAAACCCCCTTTTGGAAAATAACTTTATTTGTTAAGTTATTCTTAACCCCACCCTGTTGAGGTCATATGACCAAGCAAGGGCTTCCTTGGTGGCTTAGACAGTAGAGAATCTGCCTGCAATGCAGGAGACCTAGGTTCGATCCCTGGGTTAGGAAGATCCCCTGGAGAAGGGAATGGCAAACTCCAGTATTCTTGCCTGGAGAATCCCTTGGACAGCGGAGCCTGACGTGTTGCAGCAAACCTGTGATGGAAGGAAGGACTTGGCCTCCTCCTCTCCATTCATTTGTGGCTGCCTCTTCCATGATGAGAGGGGACCGCTCTTTCTGCCCTCAGTGGGCTGGGGTTTTCCTGAAGGTATCAGTTTGCTAGGGGTGCCCTAGAAAGCACTGCAAACTGGGTGGCTTAATAGAAATGTCTTGTCTCCCAGTTGTGGAGGCTGGAAGTCTGAGAGCAAGACCTTGGCAGAGTTGGTTCCTTCTCTGTCCTGTGATGGAGAATCTTCTAGCCTAGCTTCTTGTGTTTGCTGGAATCTTAGCGTTCCTTATCTGTGGAAGCCTCACTCCCATCTCTGCCTTCATCCCCATCTCCCTGTGTGTGTCTCTATGTCCAATGTCCCCTTTTCAGACAGACACAAGTCATGTTGGATTAGGGTCTATGCTAAAGACCTCATTTTAACTTGACTGCCTGTGTAAAGGCCTGATATCCAAATAAGGTGCATTCTGATGTCTGGAGTGTTAGGATTCCAACATATCTGTCTTAAGGAGGGGGGACCCAAGTTGGCTCATAGCACAGGGCCTGCCAGCCATGTGGATTTGCATTTGCCAGGAAGGCAGCTCCTAATCGGAGTCAGTGGTCTGGTTCCTCTGCTGACTATGGATGGATAATGATTTAAGGCCTTGGGGTAATGGAAGATAAACCGCTTGTCACTGCCTACTCTGTGTTCCGGGAGATTGCATTCTGTGGGAGGCAGCCCCAGCCTGCCCCTGCAAAGTTTCTCCCATTATGTGAAGGGCAGGAGATGATAGCCAACATTAATATTCAGCCCTTCGGCCTCCATTAGCTCAGCCCTCTGCACTCCTCTCTAACCCTCCAGAGGGAACAGCAGACTTCTTCTCCCCCAGAGACTTCAGCATATCTGCCCGCAGTAGGGGACTGGTGATGCTCTGCTTAGAGTGGGCACAGGAAGGGAGTGTGGAAGGGAGAAAGGGGGTCTTCCCTAGAGATTGTCCCCCTCCCTCTTCTAATTCAAGATCAGAATCTGCTTGCTTCCCTTCCTCCATGCAGATGTTGGGAGAACAAGATAAATTTCCTTGTCAGCTTGGGCTGTAAATTCTCATGTATTTATTAGGAAATGATAGTTTTCTCCAAGCAGCCGTCTCTCCTGCTTGCTTAGGTACTGTCCATCACTAACGAGTTGAAGGCAGAAAAAGACCCACTTGGAGGCCAGGGTGGTTTTGTGTCTGTATCACCAGGGAGAATGTTTTTTTGAAGCCAGTCCAGGAAATTTTGTTCTAAGAACAGCTTGCTAATCTGAGCTTCTTCAGGGCTAGCGGCTGTGATGGAGCTGGCATGATGGCCAAGGAGACTGGCCCCAGCGTGACGGGAAGTCTTTTCTCGGTCTGCCAGAGTTGCCCTGTCAGAGCACCACAGACCTGGTGGGTCTGACCTCAGAGGTCTGGTTTACCATCCAGGCGTTGGCAGGGCTGGGTTCTCCTGAGGCCTCTCTCCTTGACTCAGGGGTGGCTGCCTTCTTATTATGCCCTCTCGTGGTCTGCCTTCTTGTTTGTGACTATGTCCTAATCTCCACTGTCAACTGGAAAAAAAAAAAGCTCAACCTAAAACTTGAGAATAATGGTCTATTTGGTGGACTAGCTGAGGACCTAACTCTGGTAACCAGCCTCTCAGATAGCTCTAAGGGACGCCCCCGAAGAGGAAAGGGAAGAGCCAAGATACATAGGAGTTAGGGCAACAAACATCAGGTAGTCGGAACATCTAAAGATCACCGTTAATTACAGGAAAACGGAGAACTTGTTAATGAATTTAACAATTGTCTATGTACAACAGGGCTTCCTTGGCAGCTCAGACAGTAAAGAACCAGACTTCAATGCAGGAAACCAGAACTTGATCCTTGGCGCAGGAAGATCCCTTGGACAAGGGAATGGCTATCCACTCTGGCATTCCTGCCTGGAGAATTCCATGGGCAGAGAAGCCTGACAGGTTACAGTCCATTGAGTGGCAAAGAGTCAGACACAGCTGAGTGGCTAACCCATTCTTCACTTCACTAGGTATGGGAAGATGCAGGAATCTGGGCTCATTGAAATCGTTCTTTGATAGTCACCTTGTCGGTCCACTCTCACTTTTCTGGGTCCCGTACGCCCTTGAGTGTACCGGCCCGTGGCTGCCGTGGCTGACGGCTTGATGGCAGCACCATACTTTGCCTATTAATAGGGCAAGTGACAGGCTTCATCCACACCATCTCACAAACACACCAGTAACACTGGATTAGGGGCCACCCATATGACCTCATTTAACCTTCACTACCTCTGAAAAGACCTTGTCCCCAAACAGTCACATTCTGAGATACTGGGGATTCGGATTTCAATATCTGGACTCGGGAGGACTTGGTTTAGCTGGTAACAGTGCCGTGTCTGAGATTCAGGGAAAACTTGGGCTCGACTCTGCCCCTGGGTAAGGGCGTGGGGAGTGTATCCATTGGATTTTCAGTTGTCAGCCGCAGAAGCCACGCAGACTCACTTGAGCAATGTGGGAACTGAACAAGAGGCTGTGGAGAGAACAGCGATGTAGATGAAAAATGTTCATGTGAGCAAACAAAGGACTCTGTGGCCTTCAGGCCGTCAGCTGCTGTAGCCGCCCCACGCTGCCCCCAACGAACAATGCACACTGGGAAGGTTCAGGATGAAAACGAACAAGATATTGGCCCTAGATAGCTGGTGATGGGCAGGGAAGCCTGGCATGCTGCAGTCCACGGGGTCACAGAGACTTGGACACAACGGAGCGGCTGAACTGAACTAGATAGTTAAGGTGCATATCAAAGGGATGATTTCAGTGAGACCAGACTCTTGCCTTTTCCGTATGTAGAAATGCACTGAGTTCGTTACCTTGAGAACTCTGGCTTTCTATACTTAACCGTGATCTGTTTGATGTTCTGACCACCTGGTTTTTGTTGCAAAAACTGCTCTAAGCCCTGGCTCCTCCCTTACCCCTTTGGAGCTGTCTCTCAGCGCTGCCTGAGAGGCTGGCTCCTGGGCTTGAGCCCATCAAGTCCACCAAATAAAACATAATTCTCAGCTTTCGCATGCGCGCTGAGTCGCTTCAGTCATGTCTGACTCTGTGTGAGCTATGGACTGTAGCCCACCAGGCTCCTCTTTCCATGGGATTCTCCAGGCAAGAGCACTGGAGTATTCTGGGCTGAGGCCCAGAAGAGGGGGAGGACGGCTGCCCTGCTGGGTTCACCGCTGCCTGGGGCAGGAGGAGGAGGGATCTAGAGCTTTGGTCTCAGTGATGGGAGCGAGGGACCAGGGGTCACAGGTCAGGCTGGAGGAAGTGGGTCTTCACGAGTGCCTCAGCAGCGGTCAAGAGAGAATGGATGCTGGGAGAGTAAAACAATACAATCGTCTATCAGATCACTTATTTCCTCACTTGAATAAAGGGGTTACATCAGATGATCCGTATGCTCTGTCACATGTCATTCAGTCGTGTCCGACTCTTTGCAACACTTTGGACTGTGGCCAGCTCAGGCTTCTCTGTCCATGGGATTTTTCAGGCAAGAATACTGAAGTGGGTTACCATTTCCTTCTCCAGGGGATCCTTCTGACCCAGGAATCGAACTCATGTCTCCTGTGTCTCCTGCATGGCAGGCAGGTTCTTTCCACACTGAGCCACCGGAGAAGCGCTTCTGTCTGCATTAAACATTTACTGAAGGGGCCCCCGGCCACTCGTTCTTGGGTTCTTCCCCTTCCTTTGTCGTTAGGTGCTGGCACTCCCACTCCTGGCTCTTCATTGCCTGTGACGCCTCACTGCCCTTGCACAGCTCCCCGGCATCTCCCCTCCGTGGAGGTGCCGGCCTCATGTGTTCAGGAAGGTCATCAGACTTACACGGCTATAAAAAAGCGGGTGACAGCTCTCTGGTAAGGCTCAATTTATTAACGTCTTCTTTGTGATTTGGGCTGCTAGTAAATAATATATTCATTATAAACAATCATTCAACCCACCATGCTTTCTTTGGTCCTCAGCTACCTTGTCTACAAAACAGGAGAGTTGAACTCAGTGAGTATTATAGGTTTCTTTCAGCTCCAGCTCTGTTGGATTCTATGAAAATTAAACTCCTCAGGGTAGGTAGTCTGTGGGGCTTGACTATGAGGCATCCCCCAAGAAGTTGGAAATGGGAAATGTAATTTCCCTCTGAGAGAAGGATTACAAAGCCAACCGGCACTAGATCAAAGGAGGTACATTCAACGTCTCCTTAAATGAAGAGGATGGATTTGAGATCAGAGCAGTCTGGACTGGCAGCAGGAGCATCCCCAGGGAGAGCATGGCCTGTTGGGGCAAGACAGAGCATCATGGACGTGCAGAAAAAGGATGCTGAGACCGTGAGCGCATCAGGGTCGAGTTCCAATATGGCTAAGACAAGGCTGGGGTAAGGGGCTGGGTACCCACACTTTAGAAGGCTCTGTGGAGGTGATGGGGCTGGGCTTCAGGCCATCATGACCGGACCCATCAGCAGAGGTGATAGTTCATATTGTTAAAGCCCATATTGTACAGGCACCAACCAACCACAAAGGGCTTCACCTACAGCTGAAACAGGGACCTAGGGTCCTCATCACGCCCAACACTCATCCTCTAGTGCCCGGGGTGTCCGTGGAGTCCCTGGTGAGGGAAGGGCTATGAGCATGAGCTTGCAAGAGGCTCAGGGCAAAAGCTATTTACTGATCAGCTCAGAATTAGTTTAATAACTTTCACGTTCATATCACTCAGCTCACTCTTTTTCTCTGCTTCTGATTCACCGAGCAATCCCTTGCTTTGATGGTGGTTTCCCATGTACTTCTACCTAAAGGGAAAGAATGCATGTGACTGGTGACATGATTGTAAGATGAATGTACTTTTCAAGGTAAACAAATAGGTTTCCTGATTTTTTAAAGTTATCTATTTTTAATTGGAAGATAATTGCTCTACAACGTGGTGTTGGTTTCTGCCATACACCAACGTGAAGCAACCAGAGGTGCACATGTGTCCCCTCCCTCTTAAAACACCTTCCTACCTCCCACCCCACCCCGCCCTCCTAGTTGTCACAGAGTCCTGGATTTGAGCGTCCTTTGTCACACAGTAAGCTCCCACTGATTATCTGCCTTACATATGGTAATATTTACGCTTCCAGGATACTCTCTCAGTGCGTACTGCCCTCGCCTCCCCCCTGCGTCCACAAGTCTGTTCCCCACATCTGCATCTCCGTTGCTGCTCTGCCATGGGTCCACTGGTAGCATCTTTCTAGACTCCATATATATGTGTTAGTGTACAGTATTTGTTTTTCTCTTTCTGACTTACTTTACTGTGTTTAGTAGGCTAAAAATATGGACCGCTTCATGAATTTGCGTGTCATCCTTGCACAGGGGCCACATTGATCTACCTTCTCCGTATTGTTCCAACGTTAGTATATGCACTGCCCAAGTGAGCACAGGCTTTCTGTTCTGTCGGTCTCGTGGGAGCCTGATCCAATGGACCACGTGAATTCACCTCTACCAGGGAAATCCACTTTTGGCTTGCTGACAAAGTCAACTGCCTCAATTAAACAAGCAAACAAACAACCCAATTTAAAAATGGGAAGAGGACCTGAATAGACATTATTCCAAAGAAAACATGCGCGTGGCCAACAGGCATATGAAAAGGCATATCATTGATCATCAGGGACATGCAAATCAAAAGCACAATGAGCTTTCACCTCACACCTGTCAGAATGGTTATCATCAAAAAGAAAACAAATAACAAATGTTGGTTTGAGGATGTAGAAAAACGAAAACCCTAGGACACAGTTGGTGGGAATGTAAATTGGTACAGCCAATGTGGAAACAGTATGGAGGTTTTAAAAGCAACAAAAATAGAACAAGCAGCATCATCTAGCAATTCTACTGCTGGGTGGAATATCCAGGGGATCCTCTTGACCAAAGGAAGCAAAGTGTTCATTTGAAAAGAACACATGCACCCCAATGTTCATAGCAGTATTATGTCCAATAGCCAAGATATGGCAGCAACCTAAGTGTTTGTCAACTGATCAACTGATAAAGAAGATGTGGTGTAGATATAAAATGGAATATTATCCAGCTGCAAAAAAATGAAGTTTTTCCATGTGCAGCGAAATGGATGGACTTGCAGGGCATTATGCTAAAGTGAAATAACTCAGACAGAGAAAGACAAATATTGTACATTATTACTTCCATGTGAAATCTAACAAATGAAAAAATGAATGAATGTAACAGAAACAGACTCATAGATGTAGAGAACAAACTAGTGTTTACCAGTGTACAGAGGGAAGCAGAGAGGAGCAATACAAGTCAGACAATTAAGAGGTACAGGATTTTATGTATAAAATAAGCTATTGTACAACATGAGGAATATAGCTGAAATTTCATAACTTTAAATGGCGTAGAATCCATAAAAATATTGGATCACTATGTTGTACACTTAAAGTTAGTATAATATTATAAATCAGCTATACTTCAGTTTCGACAAAAAGCCCACACTTGCCTCATGGAAATACTTCTTGGAAGTAGCTGGCCAGCCCCTTTCTTTTTTCTAAAGGTTTATTGAAGGATAGCTGATTTACAATGTTGTGTTAATTTCTGCTGTACAGAAAAGTGATTTAGTTATACATATGCATAATCTTTTTCATATTCTTTTCCATTTTGGTTTATCACAAGAAGGACTTCGCTGTTTATCCACCAACTCCTCTTTCCAACAGATTCAGTGAACCGTTCCTATTTTCCTATAGAATCTCCGGTTGAATTTCTACAGCATGTAAAATTTAACTGGAGACTGGTCAGTAAGATGTGGTGGTTTTCTGTGTGTGTGTGATTTTTGTTCAGTCCCTCAGTCCTTCCTACCTCTTTGCAACCCCACGGACTGCAGCATGCCAGGCTTCTCTGTCCTTCACTATCGCCCAGAGTTCACACAAACTCATGTCCATTGAGTCAATGATGCCATCCAACCGTCTCATCCTCTGTGATGTTAGTAATACTAAGTTTATTTTCAAATAAAATCTCACAAAGATCTCCAAGCTCCAGGTAAACATATCCATATACCAGCTTCTCTGTGTGGGTATGAGATGAACACCTCAAACATAAAAGGTCCAAATGGAATTCTTAATGCCCTGCCTTTGTCTAAGGAGAAGGCAGTGGCACCCCACTCCAGTAGTCTTGCTTGGAAAATCCCATGGATGGAGGAGTCTGATAGGTTGCAGTCCACGGGGTCGCTAAGAGTCGGATAGGACTGAGCAACTTCACTTTCACTTTTCATTTTCATGCACTGGAGAAGGAAATGGCAACCCACTCCAGTGTTCTTGCCTGGAGAATCCCAGGGACTGGGGAGCCTGGTGGGCTGCCATCTATGGGGTCGCACAGAGTCGGACACGACTGAAGCGACTTAGCAGCAGCAGCAGCCCTTGTCTACACCTGCTCCTCCACTCCTGTTGAGGCCCTCTCTTCTCAAACGCCTGCTTCCACCAACAAAATACATCTAGAGACCCATCACTTCCAAGCCAGGGCCCCCACCCCAGAAAGCTTGCCTACCGCCGGCGTCCTCTCCTACCTGGGTCACTGCCTTGTCATGGTCTTCCTGCTCCCACTCCAGGGTCTGTACGTTCATCCTCTCTGCAGTGAAGCAACACGTGTGAAAACGTGGCTCGATCATGATTTCCGCTGTTCACAGTGCCCTAGTGTTTCCTGCCGGAGTCTGAGTAAACTCCAGACCCCTTGCTGGGGTCTGCCGTCCGGTCTCCTGGCACCTCGCTCGCGGAGCCCTTCTCTCCTCACTCTCTTGGCTGCAGGCACACTGGGCTTATTGTTACTCCTCAAGCGCGCCAGGCTTGCTCTCTGCTTCGCATTCCCTGCGGGCCCGCAGTTACAGCCAGGGGTGCCCTTGACTTGGGGTGGCTCACTTCCTCACAGCAGTTGAGCCACTGCCCAAATGACCGCTCAGGGAGGCTTCCCTCACCCTTGCCTCGCTCCTGCTCTCTGGAACTTCGGGGCACCTCCTGTGGTGGACGCTGGGGTGTGCCGCCAGCTCCCCACTCAGGGCTGGGAGGCACTCGCTGATTTGGTCCCTAGTCAGCTGCCCACAGCTCTCACACAGCACTTTCCAGGCTCCAACCTCTGCCCAAAGAAGCAGCTTCACCCACGTTTTATGCCCACTCCCTGGAGAAGCCTATATTCAGTGGCTGGTCCTATGGGGGCACAAACGCCCAGTCCTCTGGTCTCAGCTGAGCCTACTCCGCTGACTGTCTCATGCTCTGGAGATAGCCCTGCAGGATGGGGTGAGACTTCTCCAGTTGCATCAACTCTTACCCCTACCCATCCCGCATCCCTCACATGCGTCATACCTGCTCCCCCCAGAACGCCTGCAAACCTCTGTCTCAGAGTTGACTTCCTATAGAGCCTGACCTGTGGGACACCACCTAAAACTATGTGTTTGTTAACTTACTTGTTTCTTTTCTATTTCCCCAGCTAAGACTTGGGTCTTCCCTGGGGGCTCAGATGGTAAAGAATCTGCCTGCAATGCAGGAGACCTGGATTTGATCCCTGGGTCAGGAAGATCCCCTGGAGAAGGGAATGGCAACCCACTCCAGTATTCTTGCCTGGAGAATTCCATAGTGGGGATATTGTCGGTTTCACTTCTGTATTCTACCAGGATGTTTTGCAACATGCCTGGTGTTCAATAACTATTAACTGAATGAGTGAATGACCATGACCCCAGTATATATCATCAATACAAGTGAAACTGCCTTTTTGAAGTTGGGTGGGTGGGGGAGGATGGAAAGGTCTACTCCGCCCCCCATGCCCACCACCCCATCACTTGAGAAGGATCGGAGGCACCTCACCATTCCTTAGGGCTGAGATGATTTGGGAACCAGAAAAATGAGATTCACGGCCTGGCTTCCCTACTAAGAAGCCCTTCACTATGTCCCCTCAAGTCAAGCCTTGGCCTGGCAGGTCCTTTCCCATGCACCTAGGATGACAAGGCCACACTGCTCTGGGAAAAGAAGCCAGAATGATGGGAAAGAAAAGAGAAATGGTCCATCTCCCTGATGCCTGACACTAGGGATGTGGAGTAGACCCTGGGGACAGAGAAACCCCTGTGAGATCTGGGGCTGGAGGGCTCACCTGAGACTCTGGAATCCCAACTCAGGGGTTCCCTTTTTGCAACAGTGTCTGGGAGGGATCCAAGTTGGCCCTTCCTTGGAGTTAGTAGAAGGCCCTTATTCCTGTAGAAGGCCCAGGAAGCCATGGACCCTGGGGACACAGGACTTGGGTGACAACTTATTTTCTCCTAGGCCATTAGAGTCTCTTTCCCTCTGTCCCATGTTGGAATTCTGTGGAATGTTCAATGTGCCATCACCACATGGGTGGAAAGACCGTGTCTAGGACAAAGAAGGTGATGGAGATGGTTTCATCCACACCTTCCATTTCCATTTGTCTTGTCCTGGTCCATTCCCCAATTACTCCCAAATATGACTGATTTTCACTTCTCTAATTATTTAGTTTTTGACAGAGACAGAGGAACCAGCTTTGGATTTCCCGACTCCTTGCCTGGGCAGAAACATGCTGAGTTTGAATTGAATATCTCTGGGAAAGCTTCTCCCTGAACCCAGGAGGAGATGTGGTTGGGTGTGCTGGCTGAATCCTGCTGGGCGAGGCCCCCTGAGCCCCAGAGAAGGTGAACCAGGCCCTGCTTCCACTCCTAGGGTGGCCTCGGCCAGAACCGTCTGTGAGAGTGGCTGCAGCTTGGATTGCACTTCTTCCACATCAGCCGGAACAAATTCCGCTGCCCAGCCCCTAGGAAGAGGTCCCAGGATTATCCAGCAATTTTTCCTCCCCTGAAGTTCTTTCACAGAGGAAGAAGGGAAAGTTACCTACAGTCAACCCAGCAAATGTCCAGCAGTCTCTGAGACAATCTGGATTCGTCCCACAGGCCAGGGAGCTCATCACATAGTCCGAGGAGGCCAGACCTGGGTCCTTCCAAAGGCTGTTGTTGGCCTGGAGGCAGGAATGTCCATGAAGGATGCAGAACAACAGGGGCTGAGCCCGGCAGAGTACATCCATGCCTGGGAGCCAGACTGAAAGGACAAATCCCTTCTCTGGCACCACGAGGGCCAGACATCCAGCCCGGGAAATCTACAGTTTCCCCCCAAGGGAACTTGGGGCCATACACCTTCAGCCTCAGCACCAGCAGAGCTGGACACCAGTGCTGGCAACGGATGAACAAACATCCTCTTAGGAAAGCAGATAATGCCTTTTGTCTGCATGGCTACATTGCTTTACAATATCCCAGTCACTGTTCTAAAGAATAAAACCATTGCCAGTGCAGTGTCCTCATCAGAATGCAGTCCTCAGGCTCCACTGTTGACCCCGACACCTACTTAGTTCGGTGACTTACAAATCTTGAACAGATCCATTCACTTTTTTAAAAAAGTTAAAAATAATGCTTTAAAACCTGAAAATGAAAGTGAAAGTCACTCAGTTGTGTCTAACTCTTTGCAACCCGATGAACTATAGACCACCAGGCTCTTCCATCCAAGGAATTCTCCAGGCAAGAATACTGGAGTGGGTAGCCAGGGGATCTTCTCCAGGGGATCTTCCCAGCCCAGGGATGGAACCCAGGTATCCCACATTGTAGGCGGGTTCTTTACCAGCTGAGCTACCAGAGAAGCCCCCAAATACTGGAGTGGGTAGCCTATCCCTTCTCCAACGGATCTTCTCAACCCAAAAATCGAACCAGGGCCTCCTGCATTGCAGGCGGATTCTTTACCAATTGAACTACCAGGGAAGCCCTGATTTAAAAATCTAGGCTTTAAAATTCACATTTGTTAGTAATAATATAGCATGACAAATACTACCGTTATCCTCAGATGCTCATGATGGGTCAGGCACTGTTCTAGCAGCTAGAAAAATAGTGGTGGGCACAGAAACAAATGTGCCCTCTTCAAGGAACTTAAAGCTCATGATCTTCAGATGGGCAATATTGTCTCCATTCTACAGTCAAGGTCATTCAATTTCGTGAACTTAAGTTATGATGTGGAAAGTACTTGGCATGATTGTCTGTAGTTAAGTCACTTCCTGTTAGCTCAGTCACCCCAGGGGGCCATGGTTTATGATGCTGGAGCAGGACTCAGGAAGCCATGTTTATTTTGCCTTTGGCAACTGCCACTGGTAGATTCTACCAATAGGGGGCACTAGAGGGAGCTGGCAGAGAAGGCAATGGCACCCCACCCCAGTACTCTTGCCTGGAAAATCCCATGGACGGAGGAGCCTGGTGGGCTGCAGTCCATGGGGTCGCTGAGTCGGACACGACTGAGCGACTTCATTTTCACTTTTCACTTTCATGCATTGCAGAAGGAAATGGCAACCCACTCCAGTGTTCTTGCCTGGAGGATCCCAGGGACGGGGGAGCCTGGTGGGCTGCCGTCTGTGGGGTCGCACCGAGTCGGACACGACTGAAGCGACTTAGCAGCAGTAGCAGCAGCAGCAGAGGGAGCTGGGAGCTGGAGCAGAGAAGGGACTTACTTGCACCCTCCTGAGTGCCTTCTGAGGATTTCCTTGCTTCTTCTGCTTAGTGGTTGCTATTTGCAGCAGCAGTTAAATCCAGTTTGTGGTTTTTCCAATGACTGCAGAAGCAGACGCAATGCATTCCTTCCCCAGTGCTTGCCAAGCAGCTCCCCCTTCTCCCAGATCTGAACCTCAGCTCCACAGGGCCTCTTCTCCAAACTTCTCGAGGCTCCTAACTCTGACTCTTGGTTCCCTAGGCCGGGGCAGGGAGGGGGCAGTGCAGCCACTTCCTAAAGTTGCTACCTTCGTGATATATTTTGTTGTTGTTTAGTTGCTAAGTAGTGTCTGACTCTTTGGGACCGCATGGACTGTAGCCCTCCAGGCTCCTCTGTCCATGGGATTTCTCAGGCAAGAATTTTGGAGTGGGTTGTCATCTCCTTCCCCAGGGGATCTTCCTGACTCAGCGATTGAACCACATCTCCTGCATTGGCGGGCAGATTCTTTACCATGGAGCCACCACGGAAGCCCTTATGATATATTAGTGTTCTTTCTTTAAACTCTCTGTTTTCCAGTTAACAATTCTTTATTTAAAACCCTCTCAGTCAAAATAACTGGCATGGTTCCTGTCTCCCTACTGGACCCTGCCTTATGCACTCGGGTTGCTCAACTGAGAAGGTGGCAGAGTGGGCTCAGATGCTGCTCCATTTGAGTGCAAGCCTCTGCTCTACACCAATGATGTCTCTCTTCTGCAGGTCTGTGCGGGTGGGGGTGAGGTGGGTAGTCTCTGACCACTGAGCACCCCCCAAGATGACCTGGCTCACCCTTCATGATAAAGAAGGAAGATCATATCCAGGTGATCACTCTCCAGGGAGTGGGCACTTGCTGCTGGAAAAGCCTGCAGCTTTCCCTTCCTGGCCAGGCCTTTCCTGAGAGCCGCTGGTGGTGCCCTATTCACGGCTACCCGACAGCCATCCCCCTGCTTCTTTCCTGCCAATGGGTCCTGGCATTTGGGTCAGGCAAAGATCACTGGGTCTTGAGTAAAATAGACCCTCTTCCCAAGCCCCAGGGATGAATCAAGATTGATCCAAGCCAGCCATGGTGTATCCCTTCTGTTTGCCGATGATTGGGTATCTGACTTGGTTCTGGCCAATGAGACAGAAGGATGGACAGAAAGGAGGCAGAAAGGAAAATCTACAGGGGCTTCCCTTGTGAGAAGAAAGTTACTACTCCACCTTGCTCCTTCCAGCTTGGAGCTCCCACTGCCTCTCAGGACCAGAAGACACCATTGAGAATGAAAAGTCAACAGCTAAGGACCACAGTGGGGTCACAAAGAGTCCTAGTGACTGAACAACAACAGCAAGGGGGCAAAGCCAAGAACCGGGAAGAGCTGATTCTCCGTGGCATCCCATGGTCCCAGACGCCCGTCTCCACGCCTCTTGAACGGGGATGACCGTTACAAAAACTGTCTTTATTGCCTGTGTCACTCGTGGGCTCAGGCAATCAGTCGTGTCCAACCCTTTGCAACTCCATGGACTGTCGCCCGCCAGGCCCCTCTGTCCATGGAATTCTCCAGGCAGGAATACTGGAGGGGCTGGGTTGCCTCCTCCAGG